CAGACGGGAGCGTCTAGATATCAATGATTGATATGCAGCAGTGTCTGTTTTTCAGTTTTTTTTTTTGTTTCATAACTACTGCAGTAAGGTTTATGTTTATGAGTTTATGTTTGCTGTAAAATGTTTGTTTTACTGTATTTCCCCAGTTGCACAATGCTGTGAACAGTTTCAATTAAATATTATCAAGAGTGCATATGAAGTGTCTTGATTTTCCTTTACAATTTATGGTTTTCAACATGCCATGCATGCTGTCCAGACTTGACATGTCATTGGGAAGCACCTACAAAGAAATCCGTCACAATGAGAACATGTTCAAACCATTTGATTTTGTGACCAAAGGTGCTGGTGTAATGACTTGTAATTGTGACAGCCATGACACTTTGATTGATATACGTACTTGCTTTTGATGAATATATTATCTGTTTTGATTAAGGGACTTGCTTTTGAAGCATTGGCTACTTATTTTGAGCAACTGACTTGCTTTTGAACAACTGACTTTTCTTTTTGATGAAGTGACTCACTTTTGCAAGTTATCCACCATGTTTTGCAGTTTGCACTAATTGTTTTGAGAAGAGCCTTAGTAGTGGTGCAGAGATCAATTCTGTTGTGAGAAATGCACCAAAGCAACTGAGAAAAACTGTAAGTCCATTGTAGTGGACATTTTGTTTTTGCATCTATCTTTTCACTGATGTAACGAAACGTATTTATTCCTGTTGTACACGAAAGAGGACATGCTGTGAAATTAAAAATAAAAATAAATTTGAAAAAAATCTAAATTGTAAGATGTCTTATTTCCACCAAAGACAAATAACCTAAAATTGAAGGACACTTTTTTCCTTGGGTCTCAGGAGGATATATTAGGTAATTCACAGGATTATGTACAAAAAAAAAACTTTTCCTTTGGCTGCTGAATTGGTTCCATTACTGGGCCAGTGTGTGATTCCTTGTTCTTTCATTCTTTTAAAGACAGCAAGGTCAGAATTGCATTACCATAAATGTGACTGAAAATGAAGACTCTCGGGTTATTTTGTGACATAGCCTTTGTTGCAGTGTTTCCAAGATTGATGCCATTTACAGCTCTGCTGATATTTTCTGCACCCAAAGTTGCTTCTCTACAAAACACCCACTTTTATACTGTGAGGAATTGTACTGTTCATCCTAAAAAAACATGACTAACCTTCGATAATCATACAACTATATTGACCAAAGCTTTGCTTAATATCTGTAGATCCATCACAATCTTCCTAGCTTCATCATTCCTAGGTCTTCATCATTTTCTGGTAGAATTAATATGGCTGCCTTCAGCTGCCTTTCTACCTGCATAAGGCACATGTCTCTTTATTTATACATTCACTTACTTAATAATGCAGATAAATTGTGGCCCTTATTGTCATTGTGAAGTCTAATCTCATAATGTTATAATTATCCAGAAATGAATTTGAATCCTCTGAAGGCTTTGAATATGTAACTACTAATGTATGATTTGCTTAATAACATGAATGCATTTGTTCGGTCAGTGTAGTGCAGTGTAATGAAGTCCATTTAAAAATGTCTGATTATGATGCTTTATAAAGATCTGTTTACTGGCAAAATTATGGAAAATTTCAGTCCATGAAAATCAGCGGATCATTCACTGTGCCATGTTAAAAAGCACAAGGTGATATTAAAAAGGGAAAAGCGGAAACCTAAAAATTCATGAATGACAATTTAGCAAAAAATATCCTTCAGAAGAATAAAAGAGGAAAGGAATTTCTTTAGTACTAATTTCTAGTGTGAATCATTTGATATTTCTGCCTTTGGCACTTTTGTTTCCCTTTCCTCATTTAATTTTCTTCTCACACCATGTCATTGATTACCATTATTAAGTAACAAAGTAACCTGCCAAACTTTATGTTTCATATGAATACTGCACTAACCATTCAGGAAGCCTTAACCAATATATCTGTATTTAACTAGACTCAATCTAGCCCGACATTTTCCAAATAGACTTTGAATATTTGCGATCACTACAGCTGTATCTACTGATTGGGTAAGCCTGGCATTTTATAAAAGTTAGTATGTTCCATCATTTTAATGTAAATTGAGGTTTTTCATGAAAACTATGAAAGGTACTAAACTCTGATCTTGTAATTGCATAGGTCATGAAACATCAGCTTTTAATCCATGGTGAGAAACTGATATAAACGTAAAGTCAAATAAACAGGGTATGTCAAAATACTGCAAGAGACATTAAAGAAAACCGAATCCTTCTAACAATCAGCAAAAAGACATAGAAACAGAATCAGTGAGCTTTCAACATGAGTTTGTCCCACTTCACAGGCAGGCAGACTGATGGACAGACAGACAGTAAGGCAGACTGATGGACAGACAGACCGAGAGACAGACAGTAAGGCAGACTGACAGACAGTAAGGCAGACTGATAGACAGACATACACTGACAGACAGTAAGGCAGACTGATAGACAGACATACACTGACAGACAGTAAGGCAGACTGATAGACAGACATACAGATTGACAGACAGTAAGGCAGACTGATAGACAGACATACACTGACAGACAGTAAGGCAGACTGATAGACAGACATACAGACAGGGATAGATAGATAGATAGATAGATAGATAGATAGATAGATAGATAGATGAACAACTGAGAGAGCTCAGTCAGTCAGCAACTCCTTGTTTGATTCGACACAACCATCACGGAGAACATCTTGACATGTTCCGTAAGGGTATGGTAGCGCGAGCGCTCTAAAAACAAAAAGACTAGCCTACCGCATAATGTAAGAAAGACCTCCAAGATAACTAAACCTGCCTTCCCCTCAGCTGAATCACTCTACGCCCAACATACCTCCAGATGTGCCAGTAGGATGACAGTGGATCCATTACACCCTGCACATGACTTTCAGCTATTCCCCTCTGGAAGGTGATGTACATACTGTAACTCTCATTTACAGTAAGAACAGCATCTTCCCCAGTGCTGAATAATTGATACATACAACCATTCCTTCTGTGATTAGTAATATTATAGTAATGTCTTGTTTAATGTTTACCCTCACAGAGCAACTATTCTGTATCTCATTCCATATTTAGTGTTTGACGATCTTTTATCATTGCACAATTGTTAAGTGTTGTCTATGTTTTTTCCTTTTGTATGGCATGACCTCTGTTGATATTCTGTAATATCTATCTATTACATTTAGAATTACACATGCACATGTGCCATATTTCGTATTTCTTTAACTGCATTTATTCTGAATATGGTAACTATTTATATCCTATTCTATTATCCTTTTGCTGAAAAGAAACTCCAGCTGCCTTCTTTGCATGAAAATATTCTATTCTGTTCTATTCTATTCCATGATTGTCAGATTACAATAAATATGTCTCTCACCCAATTAAATGCATTAATTCATTTAAATGAACAATGATTAGATTTTTCATGCCACTGATTGTGGTAGGAATACAAAATCATTTAAAACGCAAGTTAAAAAAGTAACTAAAATGATTATGCGTTAGTGTGTCTTCACACCAGCACTTTTAAATCTGGTTAAAACAGACTCCAGTTCAATTTCCCCCTTCGATTTCCCGATTCTTATTGGGGAGGTGTGAACAAAGTAATCGCATTTGGGTGGAGACCAAAAGGGCTGAACCAAAACCCTTGAGAGCAGGTGGTTTTGGTCCAGTCCCAAACAAACTCTGGAGCGGTTTGTTTGTGCTGTGAACGTGATCTCACCTCAATCCAACCCAACTTCCATGTGTAACTCCATGAGTTTCAGCTCCTGGAGCCAGATGTGCTTTGCATTCTGGGATGCGGCGCAGCACGCAATCTCGTAGCAGCAGTTAGGCGGAGAAGGAGAAATGAACCAAAGTCTTACATGGGGTGAATCTCAATATGTGTACTTGACCGTACTTGTGTTCTTGTGTACCTATGTTACGTCATCTTCCATCACTGAAAACCAGTTCCAATATGAAGAACAGCAATACAGAGTATGGGAAAAATCCCTGAATGTTGGTCTTGCTTCGCCCCAGATATCAAGGATACATTGGCTGCATCCTCGCCGAACAAGACCAATCTCATGATTTAAGTTCGTATTTGGAAGGCAAGTTAGCAAGACCAGTTTTTCCAAGACCACATGTTTCGTTTTTGCGTTCTTGGTATTGAGATTCAGTTTCGGCTTAGCAGCAAGATACATTGCCTTCTTGAAATCTGGGCATCTCTCAGCTCCTAAAAACAATTCATAAAAACTCTGAAGTTTTCAAAATATTCAGTCAATGGCAGAAGAAGAGATGATTTGACCGGTCGAATGAACAGTGCCATCTGAAAGTTTAAAAAATAAAAATAAAAAAAAACAAAGCAACAATATATAAAAGTGAGGGATCTTCACATGCAGGGCCGACTCCCGTGTTTCCGGTCTCCCCGATAATCAGAATGAACGTTCTCCCATGATTTGTAGCGACGCATCATTGCGTCACTTGGATTTTCTCTGTGTGAAAGCAAACCGGACCGAGGGGAAAATGCTACAAGTTCACAAACTCATCAACTGATTCTGACCAGCGAATTCAAAGAAACTGCTTTAAAGCAGCAATTCAACAACAAGCAACAATTCAAAGGCTGTGTTTTTGCAAAGCAGGTCCTTTCATAAAAGTTGTGGTCCTAAATATTTTGTGATAACTCATAATTCAGAAAAAATGTGTATATAATTCCTTCTTTAGGGCTATAATAGTAATTACTGAGTTATGAAAATTCCTTCTTCTAAGCCTTTGAAGTGGATTTATTTAAACAATATCTCAACCATATGTGCTTTCTGCTCTGTTAAAACAGATAAACAGCTGAAGTTTGTTTTCATCTCCAGGGGAGAATGTTGTGTGGATAAACATTTTTTTGTCAAAATGAAAATAATCTTTAAGGTGTACAAGATAATTAGACATTTGTCAGTCACTCTGATATTGCAATTAGTTATCAATAATAAATTTGTTAATAATTGCAGGCATTTAAAATGGGTTCTTGCTTTTCATTTGTTTATCAAGTGTAGGGCCACATATTCTTGCACTGTGCTATTAATTAAATGCACTTTTAGAAGAATAAATTGTGTTAAAAATAAATTATTTTTAGACAGTGGTTAGTGAAGTGAAAGTCATTAGTTGTTATTGTTGACACACTACAGCACAACAACAAAATGTGTCCTCTGTATTTAACCCATATGTGACATTATGACATAGCAGGGGGCAGCTAATTCAGCGCCCGGGGAGCAGTGCTTAGGGGCGGTACCTTGCTCAGGGTACCTCAGCGGTACTTTGCTGGTCAGGGATTTGAACCAACAACCTTTCAATTACAAGTATGCTTCCCTAACCATTAGCCCACCACTAATACTATACAATAATAATAAAAATAATAATAATAATTGTTATTATTATTATATAATTATATTAATTATATAATAATAACAATTATATGATAATAATAACAATTATTTTTATTATTTACAATAATATACTTAAAATATGTATTACTATATAATTCTAACAAAAGTAAAAGGAATAATCATAAAGCTGATGCAATATGGCGTTGGGTGATCTGCAATGTTAATACGAAGGTGGTGTGAACAAAAGGAAGATAATTAATATTCTAAGGATTATTGGAAAGCCCTGTTTTGTCATTTTACCATTTACTGGATTTGAAAACAGAGATATGTGGAAAACCTGGGATGACCCTGTTTGACTTTGATGTATAGCCCGCAAAGACGCCCTGCGAAGCCTGTACAGGTGATTGCGTGTTCCTCTAGCCCCTGGCAGATAGCTCTCCTCTGAAGCTGTCCACCACAGACCATCCAGGGTATCTTGTCCAAATGATAAAAGGGAAGGTGTTCATGAGCAGACAGATGCTAGAGGAGCTAAAGCCCTGGAAATTGTTGGTTAGTGTTTTCCTGCTGAACATGTGGTAAACTTAGTATGGATTATATTTCACGAAATTTTCATTTTTGTATTTGTGACCATTTCCAAACAACATATTGTTCATTGCTACTGTTCCATTTTGTTCTTTTTTAGTGGGCTAGTCTTTGCATGTGTTCCGTTACTTTTCACTTAGATACTTCAAAATCAAATTATTAGTATGAATTATTATTGTTATTATTATTATGTTTTGTTTCTTTACTGAATGTATTGCTATTTAGTCATATTGAAAAATGTTTTTCTGCTTTTTAGGCTGACCAAAAATGTGCTGCTTGACAATTCATTTTACAGTATGATAAAATCCCTCATACACAAAGAGAGATTCCCGGTACCTTTTTTTAACACATCTAAAATATTTATAACTTAGTGCTGTCAGCATTGCTTTCTATCCCAGGGTTGCACATGTGTCCACTTGGAGGGGGAGCCATTTTCTCCAGTCCTACAAAATAATCTCTTTCTAGGCACTGTGACTGAAGACAGAGTGTACTGCTGTATGGGGTGGGGGGGCGGAGTCAAGTGGCACTGAATCTATGTCTCCATAAACAAAATAAAACAGTCACTAAAGTGCATCACAGAGACTGACCAGGTCAACTACACTGCTTAGGTGTATTCTAAGTTAAAGGGCAATCATTAGACACACTGTGCACTGATAGCCCAACCAGTTTCTGAGTTTGGGTAATGGAGGTAACTGATTGCATCTTGGAATAAGATGGCAGGGCAACACAGTCGGCATAATTCTTCCCAGGAGGCCTAAAGTCACATCAGCAACTCCTACGAACCTGTCAGATGTCTGCTGGCTGCCAGCAGTGAACAAGACAGTGCTCCCCCGATTGGCGTTAGCCGGCAGTGCCGAGTTACCGGCGGTGTCGAACGTGAGAAATCAGCTTGACAAGCAGGCATCCAGGTGGGTGTGTGTGCCTGTATGTGAGTATGGGGTGGGGGGGGCAGTTGCAGACAGTCGAGATACAGGATTTGGATGCAAAATTAGTCAGCTGAAAATCAAAGACCCTTTACTCAGAGAGGAGATGTAAAATACCCTTAACTTAAATGCCACAGCTGCTCGACACGCAGCCAAACACCAACCACAGATAAACAAAAGGAAAATCTTGCTGATGAAAAACTGAAGTATAGCTTGTCTTTTAAGTATGGCAGTCTGACTGCTGGCTTGTATAACAGTGTATCGGATTTCTTTTGCTCATGTTAATTCCAGTTCACCCATATTCCACATCCAATTATCCAACACAAGATCATATGAGTCTGGAAACTCTCCTAGCAGGAACAGGGGATAAGCCAGCGGACAGCAGTCCACATCAATACTTGTGAACACACACACACACACAAATGCATGCACGCACGCACAGAGCTAAAACAGATCCCACACACCCAAGAAACAAAAATGCAGAAGGTATTTGATTGCATATTCAGAACAATGGTTTATGTTTAAATGCTGTGCATCAGTTGGTTAAACCTAAAAACGCAATGAGCAATAAGGAAAACAAGAAGCAATCATGTTCTTATCTGATATGGACTAAAGCCACAGGAAAAGACGATAAATTAAATGCTAGCAGACGTATTCAGCGAGTCTTAGAATATTAATATCAAAAATGAGCAAAATATTAGCTGTTCAGGATTTAACTTAAAAATATAATAAGCTACCCACTGTTCTGTTGTTTCATAATAATAACTATTATTATTATTGTTCTTGCGGTTATTGTTATTTTTATTTCGTATTATATATATTATAGGTACATTGTTTTTTACCGAATGCATTCCGCAATCAATAAAAAGACTGCAGCCCATTCAAATGAATAGAACACACAAGCATTAGAGAAATAAGTCATCATGCTGTTGCTAAGCGATGAGGACACAAGGTTTCCAGTCCTGTTTTCAGTGCCGCTGCGATGTAAATATCCTGCCATCTGATAATGATGTCTGCTTTTAAGGGAGGAAAAACCAATCACCATCTATCCTGATTTCTCTACGGACTGTGACAAACCGGCAAGATTGATTGGAGATTAGAACAAAGTGAAAAAATACAAATGTAAACAGCACAAACTGTGTATCTTAATTTTTTAAACAAAAATTAGAAAATGGACTAATATGAGGATAGTTTTATCTGAATAAATATATACATACATTGTGAACATGGCTTTGAATGTAGTTCATCGCAGTGTCCATGTTTCACAAATTAATGTCTTTTGGTAATATGCCCCCCATTATGCATGCGAACACAGAACACTAGACAGCAATCTGTATAATCGGACATTTGCCAAGCTTTCTGACTGTATGTGACGTACTGCATTTTAGTAAAATATGTAAAAATGCACAGGACAAGCGGGTATAGAAAATTGATGGATTTCCACATATTTCAGTTTAACAAAATTATGTATTAATGTGCCATGTTTTTTATATATATAAATAATTGACAAATCTGTTTTGGACCTTTGCATTAAGCTAAATTATTCTAAAAATGTTTGAGGTCAGAAAACTGGTGACAAAAATTGTTTTCTTTCCCCTTATTCTTGAAAAAAGATTTTTCAATATTTTTCAATATTTTACAGAGACTTAAAGCTAAAACTAAAAACATGATATTTCTGGTTATTTAGAGCGAAAGCCAAGGCCACTGGACATTAGTGTGATGACCTTCACACCATGCATTCCTCCCTAAGCAGTCATCCACAAAGGTTGCAACTTCAGTCATTTTTAGTCCTACAGTTTCCTAGGCGTTAACACGATTTGGTGTTTGTGATGTCAGTGCCCTCTCCGTTTTTTGCAGGAATCAATGACCGACATGTTTCTAGCAGCCTAACATCAAACAAACACAAGCTGTTCTCAAAACCTGGAGAACAGTTTATATATAATACTGTGCATGTATTATCTCTGATTTTTAAGGTTAAGAAACAAAGGTTCCGTGCCTTGTGGTTCCTTTTATGTTCTGAAGCGCTCTTAGAATGAGCACCTCATTCATCTCCCCTGGCAACATTAAAGGGCTTTCAGTGATTTCATGGTGAAGACGAGGATATTAACAGTTTTATTTATTTTATTCTAAATAATTTACTGCTTACGTGGACTAATTAGCATTAATTGTCTTTGAATACTGCAAGCATGTGTGTCGGCATGTAAAATTTGCAGTGTC